CTTAAGTAAAATACTATCCGATCACAGCACAGTAATATGAGTTCAATATTTGTCTAATAGATTAACAGGCTTATTTTAGTTGATAAATTTCAATTAGCCACATTAGTTTATCAGAAACCATTCATCATTTACTAGAAGAAATATTTGCCATAATGACACAACAACATTAAAAGGATTTGTGTTCAATAATATACATAAGACTATCAGTTTTATTAAATGTTCGATTAGGGGTGATTATCTCATTTGTGCAAATCTAACATCGTATGACACGTCAATTTCAAAGTTAATCGATATATATATATATATGCATATATCATTCAGGTCTCTCGTTTTCAGTCTCTTTTATCTAAATCTTAGCTATCATTTCGATATAAATGTCCCTTCACCTACGACTAATTACATTTATATAGAATCCTTACATCATTTTACACTTCATGTTTATTTTTTAAGTATTTTAAAATTACTTATCATAAAAAACATTTCATGCTTATGAGGTGGAGTACTTCAAAATTACTATTATCAATCTCCCCCCCCTATTGTTCACAAAGATTCACAGTAATACTTATAAACAAACTCGTTGAAAACACTGATACTAAACCAGGAGACAAACATTCTAATTTTCATTACTTTTCACGGATAAATCTAGTGACAATCGATGATTAATTTTTTATGATTTATATTTGTACACTTTTCATTTGTAAATGTTGTAATTGGATCTATAAGTTAATACTGACTATTGAAAACTGTAAACTGGAAGACTCAAACAAGAACACGAAGATCTTAGAAATCTTCAGAGTATACTTAACCAAACAAATCTTCAGATGCGCACTGCTGACGAGTCCCATAATAGGACGAAACGGCCGTCCAGTGCTTCCAGGTTTTCCATGGTGGTCTAGCTTCAATTGACTCATGATCTTGACCATTGAAATTACTACAATCTCCACAAAACCCATCTGATATAAATGTTCAGATCTCATTTATTGTTGATTAATTGTTTTTTATTTATTTTACCTAGCTAACAGTAAATATCTGTTTCTAGGTAGAGAACAAATGTTATTACTTTAATAAGATATTTGAAAAGTACATTCACCTTTCAGATGGTCAGGTTATATGAAAGAAAATTAAGTTCTAATAAATTAATGAACCAAGTATAAATGCATACATTCTATTTAGAGTCATACATTTTCTTGCATAATTTAGCAAATCTATCTGACAACTAAAGCCAAAATAAACAGTATGACAATTAAAACTGATAGTTGAATCCTTTCACTACTGAACTATTATTTCTTCAAGACTGATAATTAGAAACAAACAAATGAAATTTAACATGTTCAACTTATCTTATATACGACATACATAAAAACGAATTGATGAGCATTTACATGAATAAGATTTATAATAAATAGAATGTTTAACATAGCTATTCATTCTACTATTCATTTCTTATGTACAAACGCTGTAATCAATTTGATCAATTTAGTTGTGTGTTTTTTTTCTCGTCAAAATATTTTTTTTCTTTATTCCTTCTACTACTCATCAAAATTTCACCATCTCTCCTTAAGTCGGTTTTCATCTTGATATCATGCTTAATTTCTTCAATTTAAACAAAAAGAAAACGTACATAAATATAAGCTGAATATATTACATAGTGTATTTTTATACTATTCTAAAAAGTAAAGTAAATATTCCATCTAATTACAAAATAAATTTAAGAACAATCACAATGATAAAGATGGATAGTGGCTAGCAGTGGAATCAAGGATGCGCGTTTCATTCTATTTGGGACTCGTTCATCTTGTTTTAAAAGCTTGTGATTTAATGCTGTATCGAGGCTATCCGCACAGGTTGCACATATGTCAACATGAAACTGATCAATTGAAGTCCTAAATGACAATTGGAAGGTACAAGTAAAAACAACACCAAGTGAATCACAATGGTAGTTTGTGTACTGTCTATTCTCTCTGTTCTTTGAACAAACAAAAGGTTTGTTCATGAAATATATTAGGCGATAATAATAGATGTTATGAGAATAAAACTAACCTTAAACCATAAACGGATAAATATAAATAGAAGCTAATCACTGTTTAACAATATTTCACATACATATTTTTTTGAATATTCACATGTTCAATGTTTATAAAACAAGGAAATTTGTTATAATATTTCATAGTTTATCCTGAAATTTTATTATTATAGTCAAGCATATAATATTAAGTATAGTAATATAAGTATTAAGTCCGCCTAGAGCTTCTCTGGGGCTAATGCCGGTTCCAAGCCTGGATAAAACAGAAGGGTTGAGTATGGAGGTTAGCAAACCATCCCGTAGAAAACCAACTCGCTAAAAAACTCCAACCAGAAAAATAAGCATAATTATTTCTATTCGTTGCAAAAATTTACTATTCTTTAAAGTTATATTCACTAGTTCATAGTTTTCAGTGATTTCTTTTTAACAGAAATTGATACTAATTCATTGTAAAAGTAATTCTTAAATCATTTTTATTCTTATCATTAGTAGGGAATCATAACAATTAAACCATAGAAACTAAGTGTGAACTGAATATCTAATTTATTTTGATTATATGTTTCAAATTAAGAATGAACATGTTTAGCTTGTTTTATTTTTCATTGTATTAAAAGTTATGTAAGAATATGTATAATATAATAGTTTCATAAGAAATATTAATTAAATAAGCAATTTGATCATGGATGCTCAATACTGAAGAGTCCCACAGTAGGACGAAACGGCTGTTCAGTGCTTCCAAGTTTTCCATGATGATCTAGTTTTAATTAACTCATGAAACTCAACTATTAAATTATTTGATTATAGCTTACTTCATCAACTGATTTTTATTTGTGATTAGAAAATGTAATTAGATAATGCCTAAATATGATATCCAACTTGACCCAAATGTTGATGAGTGATTTGGTTAATAAATTTTACATAAGTCATGCTAAAAATCATATTCAATACACACTCTATAAACTGCTGTCCTTAACTAGAATACTTAATTCGTAAACAAAGAGGGGTTTTGCGGATATTGTAGTAATTTAATAGTTGGATTCATGAATCAATTAAAGATAGACCATCATGGAAAAACTGAAAGTACTGGACAGCCGTTTTATCCTAGTATGAGAGGTCAGGCGCTGGCGTACGAGACTAGTAGGTTTCGGGTTTGAACCTCATCCCAATATGGAACTCCTCAGTAGTACTCATTCACGATCCTGCCTCGCGATATTCGAACCCAGAGTCTGTCGGTCTAGACCAATAAGTCGAAACGGCTGTCCAGTGCTTCCAGGTTTTCCATGGTGGTCTAGCCTTAAATGACTCATGAATTCAACTATTAAATTAATCCGTAAACTTAAATTTAGTTTATTCTCTAATCAAACACCAACCTTCAAATATATTTTTGATTTTTCCTGTGAACTTCGTTACGAACGATCGAGTCTCAGTTCTGAGAGATTTATATAAAACACCATACAGTAGATGTGCTCTAAAAAATATTGAGATGTATAACAGCAAATGATTCAGCAACCGACTCATTGATGTCTTTATTAAAGCACCAGAACCTAAGTTGTACAATTCACCTTATTTGAGATTCGTCAGCTGGGTATACTTGGATCCTAACATTATTGTATAATGGAGACTAATCCAGTAAATGCAGTGTCAAACATCAATGTCTCTACGTTACTAAGTTAAGATATATATCATCTTTTACTGAAATTAATTATTTCTGGTTCTTATGTAAGAAAATGAACTTAATATAGTTGTACTGTATTCGTTTGAAATGTTTCAGTTAATGCGGAGAAAAAACATACATGCTATGACTAGACAGTACAACAAACTTCAGTCATACGTGTAAATCTTGAATTTTCATAGTAGGAAGTCACTGCATTCATCTCATTATCTTCTCGTACAATTAACTTCGGTTAATCTACATTCCATAAGTAGCTTTAATGATCGGTTCTCAACTCTTGGGTCACTGGTACAAACCCATCTCTCGTTACTTGGATTCAAACATCCAGTTAGTATTGATAAATGTATCGCACACTGAATTACAAGAACATGTACTTATTTTCTGAATTGTATCAACCAGTCACATTGAACACTGTTTTTTTAGTGATAACAGACAATAAAATTATTTTATATGACTTCAGAAAGACTTTACGACTTATATCTTTACATGGAATTCATTTCCTCTAGAATTAAATTATCTAAGTTTCTACTAATCTAACCATCTGTAAGGATGAAAATTATTTGTGACTTTTTAATCATTATACTCTCATTTAATATACTTTTATGTCATTATTCCACCATTCATGAACACTATAAATACAAGGTTAAACCATTGAAACAATACTAGAAATATACCTAAAAGTCGAAAACTTTTAAGTAAAAGTGAAGTTCATATAATCAATAATCCATTCTAAAACATAGCGTCACTTACGATAATCTTCATATACATTGTTTGCTGTCTAAAAAACAATAAGCAATTCACTAGCAACTAATCAACAATTTTGATGAAATTCAATACAATCATATTTCAAAAGAGGTTTTTGTGGATATTATAGTAATTTCACTAATTGAGATAATGAATCAATTAAAGCTAGATTACCATGAAAAACCTGGAAGCACAGGACAACTGTTTCGCCTTAATATAGAACTCCTCAACAGTGCACATCCACGATCCCGCCTCGCGAGATTCGTACCCAAGACCTATCGATCTCGCACTCGAACACTTAACCTCTAGACCACTGAGAAATCCCACAATAGGACGAAATGGCCATTCAGTGCTTCAAGATTTTCCATGATGATCTAGCTTCAATTAACTTATAATCTCAACAATTATATTTGTTTACAAGTGTAGTGCCATATAAATGTCAATGAAATGAAGGAACTGATCAATGAAAAACAAATAAAAGTTGGCAACTGAAATTTTCTCATAAAATAGTCCCTCCCCTCCACCCCCCGTCGCAAACAAAAAAAATATATTAACACTTACCATTTATAAATGAATTTGGAGAGGAATGAGCTAATGGATAATCATTATTAAAATGACTTAATGAAATATCTTTAGTATCATGATCAACATCTTTTATATTAGATTTTATTGTACATGATTTGAATAATACAGTATTTTGTAGATCATTATTTAGATGATTTAATGAATTAGTCATTGTTGTTTCCGATGAATAGAATCCATTTTTATTTTCAGTATAAATAATTTGATTTAGAATTGATTCATGATTATATTCAGAATTTTGATTATATAAAGTTAATGTTTGATTCATTATTTTTAGTAATAATTTCTATTATGGTTTAATGTGTAAAAAGGTAAGTTTCTTCTTTTCAATAATATCCAATCTATAAAAAAAATGGTTACCCTAAGATTAAATTGGCATATTAATTTTGTCAAAACTATAAAGAAGAAGAAGAGATGATGATGATGATGATGAAGAAGAAGAGGAAAAAGAAAAAAGGAAAAAGAAGAAAAAGTAAAACACACCATCATGTATTCAACTTTATACAAGAAATTAGAATAAATGCATCATTAAACAATGTGGTAAATTCTTTTTTTTTTTTGAAGAGGATAAAAATTAAATAAACCAATCAACATTTAGAAATAAACATCTAATATTCATTGGTCATTTTGTATTATTCATGTTGAAAGTATCCCTCTTTTTACTCTATCCCTACATACATATATATAGAGAGAGAGAAGAAGAAGAGAGAGAGATCAATCCATATCTAGGAAATTTGTTAATCTGTTAATCTATTGAAAGGGAGAATAATAATATTCGAATAGAAATTAAAAAAAAACAATCATAATACTATTAAGGAAACTCAATAGGGTATTGAATAAATAAGACAGGAAACTAATCTATTATATTAGAAATAATGAAAGGAAGGTTTGAATAAAACAACTTTGTTTTTATTTTTTTTTAAAATACTTTTAGACAAAATGTTAAATAAATGTAAAGTTTATAAAGGTTTGAATAAATAAAATCATGAATGAATTGAAACTAGATCACCATGGAAAACCTTGTAGCACTGGATGACCATTTCATTTTATTCAGGTGATTACATTCGACTTTATATCATTACATTACCACGAATAGTTTCTTTAACAATCAAGAAATATGAACAATTGATATACAGAAGTTAGATTCTTAATAGTATTAATCTTTATAAAAATATATTTACCTTGATTTACTTTAAATAATCTGTTGTTTCTACTAGTGTTCTTATTTCCTGTAAAAAGTTATAAAGGAATCGTTTCTACAGTATTTTAACATTATAAACCGATCAGTTGGTTCTTACTTTTAAAATATGCTCAAGATTTAATAATCCTAAATTGGTTGAAGTTACACATTGACATCATTGGATACAGGCTCAAGGGTCTACAGGTTAGGCGTTCACGCTCGAGACCGATAGGTCCTGAGTTTGAATCCCATGAGCGAGATCGTGGATGTGCACTGCTGAGAAATTCCATACCAGAACGAAACGGTCATCCAGTGCTTCCAGGTTTTCCATGGTGGTCTAACTCATGAATTCAACTATTAAATTTATTAGTCTATAATAATTTGCTCTTCACTGCGTAACTTTTATTCTAAACAAAGTACAACAATATACACTGAATAATGCTTCTTGTTCTTTTTATCTGAAGATAGCTCATGATAACATCTATTCTAATCACTTTTAATTATTCTCCTCAAGCAAATTCATCTTTAACAATTAGATTCGATCATTACTTTTCTAAAAAAATGTTACTATTTAAAATTTAAACAGCCATTCTTAAGTAACACTTCATTTGTGTTTAACTGTAAAATCTCATATAACCAATAATTGCGTGAAAGGACATTTTACCTTAGGTGGTGAGAAATGAAAATTTTTCTAGAATTGACTCATACCATTTATATAATAATGTCAATTACATAACAAGAAAACCAGTCATCATTTCGCACTTATAGATTAGAATTTAAAAAAGGCTTATGAAACTATAATTCCTAATAAAAAACTAAATAATACAACTTACGATTAATCCGATAACATAATATTAGTAAATATATGCGCACTGTGCATATTGCCTCGATATTGCCTATCATGACTGAGTAGCTAAGTGGATAACGCGATGGCGTTTCAGGCGAACGGTACTGGGTTCGAGTCCCAGAGTGAACATCAACTCTGAGATGCAGGTACATCCGGCTGATGAGTCTCACATAGGACGAAACGCGCGTCTTGGATTCCACTGCTGGCCACTACCCATCTTTGCTCATAATTTAAATCCAGTTTCATAAAGCTAATTCATTATATTCTGAACAATACCTGAAACACTTTTTTTTGTCAGTGAGATTTCATGATATAAAATGATAATAACAACCTATCACATAACGTTGACCAATTGCTGAAAAATAATGTGATTAACTACAAAATACAAAATAAACATGTATCTCACTAAACTGTTTGTTCGTGAAATTCAATTGTATTTCTTATATTACGTTATCAAACCAAATAAACTGTCAGTTATAGGGTCTTCTAATTAGTTTCCCAAATTATTATTATTATTATTTTCCATTATCTGTTGGAAATTGTTAGGAATTATTCCATATTAGTCACTTAACTGACAATATTTTAATAAACCTGAGAAGAGTTTATTTATTCATGTCAAACAAACAAAACACATACCTCTATAAACAAATCAAAGCTGAATACAAATAAAAGAATTACAATAAGGTGAATACGTCCCATTCAAAGGAATTTACTACTATTCAAGAAGAAAAACAGATGTAATAACAAGCTTTGTTGCCTTTTTTCAGATGGCGCATCCAGATCCAAAAGCGTTGATATAAATAAGCATATTATTATCTATTCTCTGCTAGTCCATACTAGTGCATACATAGGTGAAAGGGAACCCACTTTGGTTAATCTAGTGGTTCTCAAAGTTTATACAATTTATTTGATTTGTGATATTGCATGTGATTTCCTTCATAGTTGTGTCTTTTATTTGCATCGAACGGAATGAAGTAAATGTGTTGGCTGGTTGGGAACATTGATTCCTAAGGACTTTTAAATCCTTATAGGATTTTTCGTATATGAGCCATTAGTTTTCCGAGGCGATTTCTCGACTGTATGTCAATTAAGCAGAAATGTTTTGACAAAGTCACTCAGGCAACCACTTTTGTGGAAGACAAACACGGAATGGATTCTCCAACTTTTCAGCTATTAAGAGGTTGCAACGAATTTTTATCTCATATATCCAATAATGTACAAATGATAACCTAGTGTCTTCTAGAACACAGTATACGAATGTGACTTCTGGAAGATGACCGACAATTTATCGTCTTTGCTTAGCTTGGTCGTGATGGGTTAATGTAAATGGTCTAAGTTACTGAGATGCTCGACTTACTTATGGTTTTGATGTTGGAGAATGTGATTTGTTGGTGGTGTTCCTTGTTATCTCAGAATGAAAACTAAAGAAACGACAACTTTCATGATTAATTTATTGATTATTTTTATTATATTTATTCATATTATGTGGTTGTAAAGTGAATAAGTTACGATGTACACACATTTCTTTTATCACAAGCTACAGACCAACCAGTTAACTACCACCTTATGACTTACTATTCATAGCAAGTCCTCAGTTTATTATTAACAGTCTTTCCTGCTCACAGTCACTTTGGGATTGATCATTTATGATTATTATTTCTCAGTTTGTTGTATGATGAGGTCTGGTATACATGTATATAAACTGCGTCTGCTTGGAATATAATATAACTGAGGCTTGTTACTGAGCTCTGAACTCAAGGCCAGAATGTAGGGAGTAGCTATAGAGTCGTGGAATAATAAGTACTTATCAGTTGACTCAAGGTTACTAGTTCTGATTGAACGTGTAACTGATAGACTTAGAGACACTAAGTTATAAAAATCAGGATTCTGATAGGTGGATTTGCCACGTGCTTTCGGTCATCAGTCATAAGACAAAATAGTGTTAGTAGAAAAATTCATGTTGAATTTGATGGGGGGGTTCGCCTCGGTAATGATGAAATTGCACGAACAGCTCAAGAATAGCATATCATGTAGGTTGTCAGACTAAGAACTAGAGGTTGCTATTCAGTACTGGGTTTAGACAAGTGGCTTGAATCAATAAATATTGAATACTACGGGAAACTTAGTCTCCTACGAATTGTACCCTCATGACGACCCTATATTTTCCACTCCTTTAAAAATTTCAATTTAATTTGTGAATCGCATAACGAATCATGTCAGTTGATTGTCTACACTATTTCTCTCCTACTCACTGTCGCCTTTCAAACTGAGTAAATACGTTTCCTGAAATTCCGTTCACTTATTGATGTTACAACTAGGTCAGCCTATTTTCTATGCCCATCAGACATTCATCTTCTACAGCTTTGAATATACGAAATGGTTTACACCAGGATGTTCGAACTATTCCTCAACTACATCAGTTCACAGTGTCTAGCGTTTTGACTCGAGAGTCAGTTAGTTACCTCGAAACACGTTTATAAGTGATGTAAGTGGAAACTATAGCCTGATCATTACTAGCTTCTGACGGCAATACCCCCAGGACAACAGTGACCAGATAGGGAAATTCACCAAACATAGTTAACTCGGAGAACATGCAAAAACATTACGAAAATTGGTGTGAGACGGAAAAAAAGCTGTTAACACATGATAAGTAACGACATGCAAAGTCCACGATAACATGTAACATGTGCGCGAATACCCATGGCTTAACTTTCTGACCGTGTCCGGAGAAAGAAGCTTCACAGACCCCGGGTAAAACTGATCTTGCTACTTTACAGAATTATTGATAGTGAAGCTAGGGGCAAATCGCGTGACCACAAAACTTTGCTTAACCTAACTTCTGAACTGGAACAGTAGATGGATGTGTCTAGATATCATCATTATGCTTAAAGTTTTATTAACAAAGCCTTCTAGATATCAATAAAATTCCTAAATACATCTTTTAACAACAAACAATTCAAAATGAAGTCCTGTACCAAGAACCAAAAGCTATTCTAATACCAAAAAATGCGACGATTGCTAGCCTGTAATAAATGTGTTAGTACTTTACCATTTGGCTAGAAATACAGGTATGGTGAATACAAACAAAAAATAACAAAAAATCAACCTGCTTTCTTGAGTTTTGTACAGTCTGAAAAACTTGACCAAAGTCAATAGTTTTGATGCAGTCTAGGGTAAACCTATCTTACGATAGTTATCACTTAGTTACATACGTGATAACTTCTAGACCGATCCAAAAACG